AGGCTTCTCGGGGCCATTCAGTGGCCTGTTAGTAGCTGGCGGGTTGCAGAATGCAGAGGCCATGCTGTTGATTTAATTCCTCAGTGACAATGAAGAGCCACATAAAATTGGTTCTGCTGAAAGTTTTTGCTTGCTTTAAACAGATTTCTGTTTGTTTTCAGAAAAATAGGAACAAATTAGCCATTGTTCTAAACAAGTTTACCTTTAAAAAAAAGCAGAACCACAGCTGGAGCAGCCGTGTGTGCTTGAGGTATGATTACTGCAAAGCAGATTAATCCAGAGAGGTTAAAGCCCTCGGCCACCACTGTTTTTCTGGGATCAGTGCATTTCGTGCAGAAAGATGATGTCGAAATAATTCAAATTCAAAGCCTTCGTGAATACAATTCAAATTATGTTGCGTCATTTTTGCATTTTTAGGGAGGTAGCTATGTAAATTTGTTTCAGTGTGTTTACAGAATTAAAGACTCGCAGATTTCTTTCCATGTGAGCTTTTTTGGGCCAAAATCAGCTTCCTGAGACATTTAAAAAGGTACCTTGCCTGTGCCTCATTCCCCACCCCCCCGTCTTTTCGGTCTGTTTAGTCCACTTCTGCCTGCTTGCCTTCCTCCTTTTTTCGTCCTTGCCTGGCCAAAACACTTTGGTTACTTCCTTTCCTGGCTTGAGGTGCTACGGCCACAGAAGACCACAGATTCTGACTGACCACAGCAAGCTCAGAGTCCCCTTAAAGGCTGAGGAGTTCTAGATTGGGAATCAGGATTCTCCTGTTGTGAGATGAATAGCTCTGAGGGTTTTCAGGGTGGGTTTTTTTTTGGGGGGGGGTTCCTACAGCCAGCTTTAACTGAAGAGGACTTGCTTTGCCTTTCTAAAAGGCTGTCCTCCAGTTTTGCCAATGCATTACTTAATTGCTCCAGAGAGACAAATTTATAATTCTACCAGTTTCTTTATTTGCAGCCATTTCGTTCCATGTTCTGCCTTTCTGGTGCAGCTACCAGGCGAGAGTCTTCTTCATTTAGCTTGAGTGTCTGAGTTGCAGCCAGTGTTAGTTTGTTAAATAAACAAAAATGTTTGGACGAGAGAAACCACTAAATTCTCTAAATGTTTACATGGGTAGGTGTTTCATTGCATTTCCCTTTGTTTTGAAGAATTGATTGATAGCACCTAGTTGGAGAACTGGACTGGGATTTTGCTTGTAGGTTTCACATTGAGGCTGAGATGTTAGCAAATTAAGGAAATGTTCCCCACTGGAGTAAGGCAGGCAGGCAGCAGCAAAGAGTCAGCCATCTCCTCCTCAGAAGAAGAAGAAATAAGTGTGCACACACTGAGGGAGCCTTCCGAAGAGGCTGAAGGCCAATTTATCAGCATTTTCTGCATTTCTGTAAATCTGAAATGTACGTTTTCCTATGTGCCTTGTTCCCATGGTGACAGATGTTTGTATATGGATCCCCTTCCCCCTGGCTCTGCAGACACCACAGCCTCATCTTTGGGCTGCTACAGGCGGCCACTGATTTACAAGTTAGAGAGCTGCCAGGTTTGTGGCTCCTGGAAAGCTTGGCTAGGTGCAGCAAAGCAGGTCTTTCTTTATGCTGGGGAAACCGGGGCAGAAGTGCCATTTTGACTGAGCAGAACGCCCACCTGTTGCTGGGCAGTTACCTTTGGGGTCCATTGAAGTCTCCTTTGTTTTTCAAATAACAGAAATCATCCACCACCATGCTTCCCCCGTCACTCTTTGGGCATGACGTGTGCCTTTTGTGTGTTCTGAGAACCGCGTGATCTTCCTTTGACTGGGTCAGAGAGAGGCTGTTAAGTGTTTCTGGATAAATTTGATGGCATAATGTAGTGGACACAGCTGTGCAAAATGTGAACCGACTTAACCGTTCTGCCATCCTTCAGCAAAGTGGTTGGCAGAGGAAGCCCGTGGAAGCCACTTCTGCCGCCAGGAGAGGTTTCCTTCGTTGGTTTGGAGACTCCGTTGTTGGGCTGGCAGTCATTTTTATTTTTGCCCTGGGCCTTTGGGCGAGTGTGGGCAGATGATGAGCCCTGGACCAATGGTTCCTTCCCAGCCTAGCAGGAGTGCCTGGGAGTAAAGTTTGGAGCCGACAGCAGGCTTCACTCCCCCGCCTTGAAGCCACTGGGACTTGAAGCATGGTTTATCTTGGGATGGTGTCATTTTTTAAAAAAAGTATTCTTTACAGCTTTCCTGCAAGATAGTGCCTAAGTAGTCACATTTTCCAGATGGTGACCTGAGATGTTTTATCACTTTCATGGAACTGTGTGTGCTGAATCTACATTCTCATAAACCCTTCTCCCTGTGTTGGCTTCTGGATTTTCTTATGGAGAGAGGGACATATTTCTCCATTAGAAAAGCAAGTTCTGCAGAAATCGAACAGAGGCCCAGATTAGCACTTCACGTTATCACCATTCACTTTCGTTCTGCTGCTGCTGGTGACCTCATTGTTCCTTCCGTGAGGTATTTGACAAGTGATCTCACGTGTTGGACTCACTTCTTGGACTAAACTTTAAATGCCATTCCTTTTGGCCTGCTATCTAACAAAGTACGGGCTGCTTAACTCCAGCCAATGGCAGGAAATGAAGAGCGTGCTTTTCAGGGGTCATGCATATGCATCCAGCATTGGGGGGGGGGAACCCTCCCCATCAGAGCTCTGCATGGCTTCAAGCCTTGAGATGGAAGGTCAGGAGAAGGGAGGAGTTGGTGGCTGTGTCTTCGCTCAGGAGAGGCGCCTGCACCTTCCTCAGTGCTTCCTAGGAACTCGTTGGCCACTGTCGGTGTCTACCTTTGGCTTCTCTGTGACCAACCTCGGCAGATGATTTTCAAGGTGTTTTTTTTTTTTTGGTTTTTTGTTTGTTTTAGTGGCTTCCAGAAGCTGGTGAGGGATTCTGAGAGCTCTTCTCCCAAAAAATAAAACAGAAAGAAAAACAAAAAAGCCAGTCAACTTCTTGAAGCCTTTCTCTGTCTGCCATTAATTTGCCCAGTTGGCTTCAAAATCTCTCTTAAGCCAGTGGAAATCACCCCCATCCCATGGAAGGAACTGGATCACTCAGCTTATTTATTTATTTATTTGATTTATATCCCGCCCATCTGGTCCCGCCCATCTGGTCTATGGGGCCCAGGCTTCTTGGGTGTCTAAAATTAGTTCATAACTCCTGTAGGACTTTTTTTTTTTGGAGATTCAGGATTTTGGCTGGTGTGGAGGCCTGTTAGATAAGAGGTTGCATTTGTCTGATTTATGTGATTCCCGCCGCCCCCAGCCCCTGTGCAAAGCATGAAAATGGACTTTTGACGTCTGGCTACCCCTCCGCTTACGGGACGTGCCTTTGAGTCAGTGGGTAGGGCAGCAGTTGGACAATCTGCCTATACATTCTTGAGGTACTTTCTCTTTGCTATGTTTTCCTTCTCTGCTACAATCTCTGACTTCCAGGAAGTTTTCATCCAACACATGCTAGAAAAGATTTCCATCTTGGGGAAGAACTGGTCTGCAGTGATCCAGAAGTAACGAGCAGCCCAGCCTAAAGTCCCAGAGAAAGGAACGGTCTCAGATTTCCCATGAATTTCCATCCCTAGGGACTCTTATGATGGGGCACTCTTCCCACTGGTATTTAATAGAAAAGAAGAGAAGAGAACTTGGCAATGGGAAAGAGAGAGAGAGACTGAGAGAGAGAGAGAGAGAGAGAGAAGCCGACCATCAGAGGAAGAGAACTTGTGAGCAATGACCTCTGATCTGTTCTTTGGGGGCGCCTGAATGATCAGCATCCAACCTTGATATTCCAAGTCCAGTGGGGGTCTCATGAAGTGTCTGCTCATTAGTGTGTTTATACTTCTAAATGGGTTTCTGCAGAGAGTATTTGAAAATTTTATTTGACAAACAGTATAATATAAAGAAAAAAATTAGAGAAGCCAAGTACCGTAACTCCCAAGCACCAGTGTCCGTATGAACATTGAATATAAAGAAAAAAATTAGAGAAGCCAAGCACCAGAGTCCGTATGAATGATGAAGGTTCATCAATATGCTTTGTGTTCCACGACAGGCAGTGGCGCTGCTGACCCGCACGGGGCTGACTTGCTTCTCTCCATTTGATGATCCTCCTGTCTTTTGCAGAGAGCTCTCCACCTTGGCAGCATTTGCTTGTCTCTGTTGAGGATCTCCTGAATACCCTTCAGCAAGGAAAGAGGGACTTAGTGACCACATTCAGGTCAACAGGTCAAAGAGAGAATAGTTTTAAAAGATGAGAACACTTCCAATCCCTTCAGGCTCCTTCTCACTGGCCGTAGTTTGAGCAAACCTGTTCGCTGTGTCTGTCTGCCACAGAGGACTATGGTTTGTTTTAAAAGCACCAGAAAATGCTTTCACTCTTTGTGGCTGCAGACCAGCAGGCCTGTTGCTGTAGCTATTAAAAAGGTTCCTGGGGGTTAAGAGGAGATTTACAGATTGTTTATAGATAAACTCAGCTCTCATTACAAACAGGCATAGGATGCGATCCGGCTCTGCTTGGGACCAGGGGCCTTTCTCCAAAGGGTGCCAAGAAGCTGAGCTTTTGAGGTCTCTCTCTCTCTCTGTGTGTCAGTCTGTGTGTTTGTGCCTTCCCATGTTTCCTTTCACCCTCTGAGGCACATCTGGTGGGAACATGAGAGAAGAACCTGGAGGTGGGTTTTCCCATCAAGGAAGACCCGGCTGGACCCTTGTTTCCCTTCCACTGGCAGGCTGAGGCCTTTTCCTTCAGGCAGACGTTCAGTTGTTGACTAGCTGCTGAGAAAGAGGCTTTTACTGGGTTGATGCCACACTTATTTTAAAAACTAGATCTTTTTAATCATATGATCTTGTAATGTTATACTTTGTTTAGTTTTTAGTCTGAATCCTTTTCTATCTGTAACTGCATTTAGTCTTGCTCAGAGCCACAAGACATGTATTAGGTGCTTATACCACTGGGGAAAGATAGAAGTAGACGATCAATAAACAAAGTTTCTAAAATCCTTTGTGCTTTAGAGGATTATCCCAGTGGGACTTGGCTTGGAGATGAAAACAACCCCGAGATGCGTGTGCGATGCCCTATCACGCCGGCCGACATGCTTCACATCAGCACCAACTGCCGGACAGCCGAGAAGATGGCGCTGACGCTGCTCGATTACCTCTTCCACCGGGAAGTCCAGGCCATCTCCAACCTCTCAGGGCAGGGGAAGCATGGAAAGAAACAGCTAGATCCTCTCATGATTTACGGCATCCGTTGTGAGTATAGATCCCCTTAGGGTCTCTTGCTATAAGTGCTTTCTTTAAAGGTTGCTTTAGGATGGTTGGGAGAGGCAGATAAAGAGAAATACGCAGCACATATAGACCAAAATGATTTCCCTACGGCTGGCTGAGGGGGTGGGTGTGTCTTTTTAGCTATGGCTCAGTACTTTCTTGCCAAGTTATGATGCAGATGAGTGGTTCCCAACCTTGGATTTCCAGATGTTCTTGGACTAGAACTCCCAGAAGCCTTCACCACTAGCTGTGCTGGCCAGGATTTCTGGGAGTTGTAGCCCAGGAACATCTGGGGATCCCAGGTTGGGAAGCACTAATTTAGATGATGGCTCAGGGAGGGCCTCTGCCAGTAGTTTTATTGTAAAGATGCTGCATGATTGTTTTCTCACACCGTCGTTCTGACCTTTTGGAATCTGCCTCGCTCCCACTGAGCTCTCCGGAATTACTGAAGAACTCCATGGTTTAGGTATTCAGCCGTGAAGCCAGAGGTTGGGAGTTCAATTCCCCACTGTGTCTCCTGGACAGGGAATGGACTTGATGATCCACGGGGGCCCTTCCAGCTCTCCGGTTCTAAGAGGATTATTATTTATTAGATACTGGTTTGGAAAGTGTCTCTGACTTGTCCAGGAGGAGGCTGAAGCTAACAGTGTCTCCTGCAGTGTTGTGTGCTTTTGGCTTAGTGTTTGCAGAGCTGCCACCTAGACTGAAGAACTGTGTCAGTCCGCACACCCCAGCCCTGCCAGTTCCCCGTGTGCTGCCGCAGGAGGCACAAGAAATGGGTAGCTCCATCTGCCGTGGAGGATTTCCTTTGTAAATCCTGGAAATCCAGTGAAAACTACACAAGAAGGATGTTCAGCTGCCCAAAATGATTGGATTCCAGCTTTGTGACTCTGCAGATGTTGGGAGCTGGCTTGTTTTCTCTTATCTCCAGGCAGATGTTTTGATAGCTTCTATTTAAGGCATGTTCCTTGAGGACCAATTAAGCTCGTAATGAGCACTGTGGCTCCTCTGTAGAATCATCCCAAGCCTTACTTTCAATTCAGGGTGTCACTCTGAATTCATACTAGCTTGCTGCTAGAGAACATAGCCAGGTGTGGGATGCATTCCTGATGGAGAAAGTGATGGAAATACTAAAACTTTGCAGCAAAAATAGCAGCTTCTCAAGACCCAGATGTTGCAGGCATGTTCAGGAGAGCTGAAGAAGAGACCTCTGTTTCTGATCAACTTGAAAGCAGGAATGTTTCTGCTCTACCTGCTTCAGCTGCTCTGTCTGAACAGGGAAAGCTCCTTTGATCCTCATTTTCCATGTACATCATCCAGAGGCTGAACCTTGTTCCTGTCAAAAGCACAGAACTGGAGCAAGTAGAGCTGTTTCTCATAAGCGTAGACATTCATTCCTCCATGAGAGAAAAAATGGCTCTACTGGCCCTACGTCTTCAGTCATGTCCTTTTCTGGAATAAGGTCTCTGTGCTTTTCTCAGTAGGGAAGGATACTTTGGAGGTAGCTCATGCCTGCTAATTAACAAGTCTGATTAGAAGGGTTGACTGGGACTCAGAGAATGATCTCATGGAGTCAAGAAAGGAGAAAGTTCTGGGCCTGCAAAAGAGCAGTCATTTCCTCGTCAACACAGCCTCTGGCTTGCCCTGCGTTCCTGTCGTTTTGCTTTATTCCTTCATTTTGTGCTCCTGTGCTTTGAAAGGAGGAGCAAAGATGGGACGGGCAGGGGTCCTTTCCGACTCAAGAGGAAGACGGATGCCATTGCATTGGTTCACAAGCCCCTCTCCGGTCCCCAGTAGGAAACGTGAAGACATTTCCTGGAACGTCTCCTCTCTGAGACAGGCTCTCAGGCAGCACTGCTCCAGATGCTGGGTCGGCACTGGCTGAGACGGCCCGCCAGGCGCTTCTCGGTCAGATTTCGTCAGTGTGAGAGGGAGACAAAGAGTGCTGCTCTCAATCCTGGTCTTTGCCTTTAATAAAGGCATTACCTGACACGAGAAGGAGTTCTTCTGCCCTTCAAGACCATGGTCTGTACTCACCAGCCTTTGGCCTGAAGCCTGAACGGACAGAACATAGTTTGTGCTCTGCCCCCAGAGGCTGCCCTTCCGTGGAGATGGGAGCAGATTCATGAAGATCACCTGCGGAGATGAAGGGTGATAAAAGCACAATGGCAGCCCTAAAGTGTGGCTCTGTGCTCTCTGCATTTTGCAGGTCAGCTGGCGGCTAGCCGTCTCATTCATGGTTAGAGCAAGATGAGGGAGATGCCTGAATTAAGGTGTTCTATGAGATCTCCCCTCTGCCCTCGCCACCTGATTTACCAGTTGGGGGGCCATTGGCTGGAGGAGGAAGGCAGAAGAGCCAGCTTCCGGGACAGGCATGGCCCAAATGCTGTCAGACTTCCTGGTTCAGCTGGACCATCATTGTTGAAGGCGTCGGGAGTGTCACAAGCAACCTTGCAAACACATTCCTTCCATAGGATGGAAACTGGAGCGGCTTTAGCTTTGCTTCCTTTCAGGGAAGCCCTCCTGCATCTGGGTTCCTTAGGGGCTCCCTGACACTCAAGGTTCTGTCCATAGGCATCCTTCAGTCTCGAGAGACTATGGTAACATGCTCTGAATCGAGGAGTGTCCTCTCCAGAGCATGAGGCCCGGGTAAGGTAATATGGAGGATAGGCTGTTACCCAAGCAGCAGATCCCCCCTCTCTACATTGCTGAAATGGTCCAATGGAAAGGCAAGAGCCAATACAGCTGGTTCCAGCAATATCGCAGGAGTTGGCAAAACGACACATGCTGCCTTTGGGACTCCAGCTCCGGAGTTTGCCTCGAGGTTAACTCCTGAAGCCTTTTCCATGAGTGGATATAGCCACAAGGCAGTGGAGGTTTGAAATTGGAGTTTTCCTTCTCCTAGATGGGCTGCCTTCCATGGCTGACGAGCCCCACCTACCCGGCAAGGTTCTGTCACATTGCAGCAAATAGCTGCATCTGGATCAGCTGGGCCCTTCCGTCTAGCCTGGCACTTCTTAGTTCTGCTTTCAGCTGGGTGGGGGTGGGGTGGAAGGAACCTCCGCATGTGTCGGCCACACCATATAGTTTTGCCAAAGTCGCTTTTCGGTTGAGTCTCTTCTTTCAGCTTGTCAGTGGAAAGATTTTTGTCCCTGGGAACTGAGCCCCCAAGTAAATCTGTATTTAATAGAAAATATTTTGAAAAGTATATAGCATTTTGAAGCCACACTTTCCAAGTGAAGGGAAATATGCTTATTAAAAATTCTTGATATGTTGCAAAAGCTTTCCCACAAAGCATTTATCTTTTGAGGTATATGTTTTCATTTGGTTGCTTGGTTGTAATGGTTATGGAACTCGTGGAGAAAAGTTTTGGAGTACAGTAGTTGATCAACAGATGTGTGATTCGGGCAAAATATGTACCTTTAAGTAGCTCATTACATCAGGACTACTAAAAGAAACAGATTTTTTTTTAAAATCTATGTTCGTGTGAGAGAGAAATCTGAGAGGCAACAGGAGTTTCTTTGTAACCCAAAATATAGCTTTAGGTACTGCAATATTTTACAATGATTACAGATGTGCTCTTTCAAAAGGTGCAGCCCAGATGTTTTAAAATGAAAAAGTGGAACTGCTTGGAACTGGTGGCCCTCCACCTTGGTGGTGGCACCCCATTGTGGAATACTTTCGCCAGGAGCGCTCACGGTAGCCCACCTGGTTCGCTTCTAGGTTCCTGGGGGGGGGGGAAGACATGTTTATGCCATCTTTCAGTGGAAATCGCTCTTCTCCTGTGGTGTCTACTCCTGGCTTTTCTGCTTTGTCTCATTGGTACGTTGTTGATGTGACATGATTTAACTGACCATTTTAATTATTTAGCCAGATACTGTGATGACCTATATTTTTGTACTGAATGGTGAGATAAAAACATTTTAAATAAAATAAATCGTGCCGGGAGCAGTGCTGTATGTTACAGTGAGAAGTGCAGGACCTGAAGTGGGTGGAGAAGGGTTGCTGGTGTTGCAGGACAATGTCCTGGATTGGGAACGTAGAAGAAGCTTCCCTGGGATTGGATTCTTTCCCCCACTCGCTGAACTAATCAGAACAGGCTCATTCTGCCTTCACGGCTCCCTCGCTCTGACCCAGGAGGAGGCCGGAGCTCTCCTGCCGGTCTTTCCATCTTTTTCTTCATCCTTCTTGCCCCTTTGCTTACTTCCATGTGTTTTTTTAAAAAACTCTCCCGTTTCCCCCGTAAAATAAAAAGCAAAAAAAAAAACTGGAGAGTGTGCCTGCATCAGCCTTGGCACCTTTTGCTCTGTGGCGAGGGGGAATCTCCTCCCTTTTGCCTCCTGCCCCAAGCATGTTTGGCGGCCGTTCCCTTTTTTTGCTGCCAAGGGCCTGGAGCCTCTTCTTGCCCCCACGTCCAACCAAGGCCTGGCCAAAGCGGCAAGGAAGGCAGTGGGATATTGGGAAGGAAGTTCCCCACTCTCCCTCTGGGGCAGGGCAGGGGGGGGCGGCATCTCAGAAGGACAAGGAATTCTAGCCCCCCTCCCATCTTTCTATCGGTGCCCATTGGCCGGAGTTGAGGACCGTTTCAGCCACCCCTTGGCCAGGCAATTGACAGAAGCCTTCCGGGGGGGGGGGCGATGGGAGGGAGGAGGCCTGAGAGCGGAGCGAGGAAGGGAGCCCTTGGCTGCTTAGCCTCCTGCCTTTGCAGGTAGCTGAACTCCTTTGGGGATTCTGCCAGGAAAGATAGAAGCAGACACCAGGAGGACACAGAGCAGCCACGGTCTGGCTACTTTCAAGAGGCCTCTTTATAAAAGTGTGATTGATAACAATCCTACCAAGAACCAGGAAGCAGCCACCTGGCTCTCGGGCCTGTTGGATCTGCTATCAGCTTGATTCCTCTGCCGTTGGGTGGGTTTCATCTGGAAGCCATCAGCGCTTGAAGTAATGCAGACAGCTGGCTGCAACCTGAAGCCCAGATTCCCTTGCCTGCCCGGTCGAAACAGGAGGAGGAGGGAGATAAGCGGCTGCCTCTGCCCGCTCAGCCACAATGAACGTCACCCTCAGGGTGCATGATTTGCAGGTACGGGAGGAACGTTCCTTCTTTTCTGACTTTCTTCTTATGAAAAAGATTGGGATGGGGTCCGGAGAGGAGACTCCTGGGGCTCTCGCACTGCATAGCACAAAATGACAATGCTGTTGGCACAAGAGACGGAGCTTCCATGGATAGGCGAGCTGTCCTAGAGGCGCCCAAGCAGAGTCAGGTGGATGGATGGATGGATGGATGAGTGGCTAGATGGACGGACGGACGGACGGACGGGGGCAGGCTTCTGCTCTCTCAACCTGTGTGTGAGCAGCTCCTGCTCTGAGGAGGGACCCTTTGCTGCTTTGCCGGACTGAAGGTGGGGAGTCTGGACCACCCAGACGGATTCAGGGGAGAACAGGTGGGAATCCTGCAGGGCGGCTTTATATATTTTTCTTTCCTTTTCTTCTTTTTCGGTAGGACGTTCACCCCAAGATTATTACCCAAGTTTTGGAAATTTTTTCCTCTTAGTTCACCTCTGGGGTACGGAAGCTGCTTTTACAGTGGAGGCACAGAGCCGCATGAATGGAGGCAGCGTCCAATTCTGTTGCTTTCACACAGGAGTAGGCCTGTGACCCGCCATGGTCTCCTTTGTCCCCAGAGCCTTCTGCGTGCGTCACAGGTCCGCTGAGATTTGTTTTCGAGTGGCTGAGGTCGGTTTTGTGGCCCTCCTTGGCAGAAACAGCTGGGAGTCTTGAAAAGGTCTTTCTTCTTCGGATGCTCAGGTTGTTCAGAGCTCAGCTTAGCTCCCAGAACCGGGCTTGCTTGGTGAAAAGGCAAAGAGCCGAGGCTGTTGCTGGAAAGCCGTCTGGCCTGCTCTCGGGCTGCGCTGCCGTGTTCATTTAGGAGACGTCTGCGAGGAGGAGCTGCTAGCCAGGGAGCAAGCAGAGCTGGGAGCGAATTCTCCAGTCAGGGATATAAATTCTGGGATGGTGGCATCAACTTTGGCCTCAGCTTTGCCTGTGTTGTTTTTGATTTAAATGCGGCTTGCAACACGTCCCCTCAACCAGTCCGCCCTTAATACAAGGCTGTTGAGGTGCAGGCATGGTTTGTGGCGCTGTGGTCGGTGGGGAAGCTCTGCCGGCTCCCTTGCTTTCCTCCAGGAATCCCGGGGCCAGGCGTGAAATCTGGGCGTGGGCGAAGATCTCCCCGACATCCTCTACTCATTGAGCAGCTGGGTGCCAACCTGGTTGCTCGAGAGCCTTGTGGCTGATGAAGCTGCCGGTAGTGGCGAGCCGGTCTCTTGTTTTGCTTGCACCAGGTGAGCTGTCTTAAGGTTGGGCTGAAAAACAGACCCTTTCTTTTCTTTTTAATTGCGAAGGAGAACACACAGAATTACCTGAGTTCCCTCGGAATATGGAAACCTGTTTCATTCAGGGCACGCACAAGAAATGTTGAGTTTTCATGGATATTGTAAATCTAGGAAGTTATACAGTATCAGCTCCAGGGTCATTTGGATCTGTCCAGGAAGAGCTGCCGTGGGGAAGTGTTTCTCTTTCTCCTCTCGGCCCCTTTGGAAACTGAGGACGTTTCCTTCCAGCACATCAGAGCCTTCAGACACCTCAGCCAGCATTGTCAGCTCTGGCCGGCAGGCGTGGCTAGTGGCTGCCCAGCCGTGGCTCTCCTTCAGCTTGATTCTTTCCTGGCTTCTACCAGGTGATGCCGCTGGGGATTGACTCTGAGACATCCTGCGAGCAAAGCAGGGGCATTTCCTCTTTTATCCAGTCCTGCCTGTCTTCCTCGGTGGGAGAGCAGCAGACGCGTAGTTTATCTGCAGCCCAACTTCCTGCAGTGCTTGGTGGTTGTGGCAGTTTTTATCTGGCAGGACTGAGAAGTCGGGCAGCATCCCTGGAATCGCTTAATCCGCATTGTCACCTGGAGAGGAAAAACAGCCTCGCTGCTGAGCGCGAGCCATTGCCTTGCGTGAGAATTAATGAACATTTCATCTGGAAAGTGCATTGCATAAGGGAAGCAATGAGTTCATGAAGGCACGCACTTTAAATTCCAGAAAGTTGCATTGACCATTCTTTTCAAACACATATACACACATTCTCCCTCCCTCCCTCTTTTTCTTTCTCTGGTGATCTAAAAGGGTTAAACCATCAAAAACTGGAGCTGACAATGCCATTGTTGGCAAAATGTAAATAAAGCTGTGCAGCTGCTGGCTTTTGGTCACAGCTGCAGTGTCCAAAACCACAAGCTTCTTTGCAAGGGGAGGAAGCTTCATTGTTGATGCCTAAGTTATTTTTTCTTGGCAGCAGGCAGGGTGGTGATGGCCATCCCGCTTGAATTCTGTGAAAGAGCTTATGTAACAGGAAGGCTTTTACGTGCATCGGTTAGAGATAGATAGATAGATAGATAGATAGATAGATAGATAGATAGNNNNATAGAGATAGAGAAAGATAGAGAGAGAGAGAGAGAGAGAGAGAGAGAGAGAGAGAGAGAGAGAGACCGATACCGTGTTTCCCTGAAAATAAGACAGGGTCTTATATTAAGTTTTGCTCCAAAAGTGCATTGGGGCTTATTTTCAGGGGATGCTTAATTTTTTTTCATGTACAACCATCTACATTTATTAAAAACGGTGCATAGGAGACAAATTCAGAAGTCAGCCCTCCCTCAGGTGGGTTTCCCAATTAAAAGGGGGAATCAGCTCCCATATGGCATGAGTTGGCTCAGCGAAGGGAGCCCCGGCCCTGGGGGCTGCAGGCTGCTGGGAACGGCCACCTGACAAGTGACATGGTCCGAGCTCCCTGTTGCGGTCCCTCTGTGGGAAGAGGAAAACCCCCCCCCCCCCCACTGTGGCCTCCCCATGTTGCATTGTCTGTTTCCTATGGTTTGCAGGCCACCTTTTTTATAAGTTTGGGATCACCGAGTCTGATTGGTACCGGATCAAGCAGAGCATAGACTCCAAGTGCCGGACGGCCTGGCGACGGAAGCAGCGGGGCCAGAGCCTGGCGGTGAAAAGCTTCTCCAGAAGGACGCCTTCCTCCTCCTCCTCTTACAGCGGCTCAGGTAAAGAAACCCCCCCTCCCCTTCCGGTCCCTCTTGCTGAATTGCGCTAAACACTGTTTCAGAAAAGTAAAAATAAAATTACACTCTTGGCTTTGAAAATTGCCTTTCCAGCGAAAGTCATGTAACTGGTAAAGGCCACTGTCCAAATTAGAACGGGAGGCAAACTGCAGGAGCTGCAAGGAAACTGCCTCAAAGAGGGTGAAATCCGCCCCCCCCGCCCCTCCGGCTGAGGCCGTGGTTGGAGTCAGAGGGTTCTCTATGTAGTCGCTGCTCTCCAGGCCCCCCTCCAGAGATCTACTGTGGGCTGCCTTTCTCTTCTTGGAAGGGGAAAAAAAAGTTAGCCTTCTTGGAAAGCCTGGCTCTGCAACAGAGCAACAAGAGGCAAAATAGAACGGGCCCTTCAGAGGTGTTTTATTTGGCTTCTGGCCATGCCATAGTTTGGAATTAGATTTGCGTGTGTGCCTGAGAGAGAGGTTGAAGACCTCCAGCTACTGTGTACAAAAATAGACCATTATTACTAATAATCTGCAAATATAACTGGTCCATGAAAGCTTCCACCGCAAGCCATTTGTTAGGCTCTGAGGAGCCGCTAGACTTTCCTTGATGACGGCATAGTGGAGCAGTTCGTATCTCTAAGAGGCCTCCATTCGTAGCAGGAAATGCCGAACGGTGGTTTTCAGATGGAAGAAAGCTGGCATATGGCTTGTGGATTATTAAACTGCATCATCATATAAACAAACAAACAAACTCATCATGGTTTTGCACCCCAAAGAAAGGTACCCTTTCCCCCAAAACCTAATGAGGAGCTCTACTTACCTCCATTTTAATGGAAAGACAGAGGATGCGAGGCTGCAGGGTGCCACGTCCGACGCCCTGCACACTGGCCTGGTTCCCCTCGACCCGTTTTTGGTTGGGAAGGACTTCTGAAGACCTTAAAAGGGCCGGCCATCCCCAAGGGGGCAAGAGAACAAGTGAGGCACTTTGTGGACTGTATGTTGTCAGTGGGTGTGGGTGGGGGTGTGGGTGTGGGTGGGGGTGTTTTGCAAGGAGAGGGAACTTTTAGGGCAATAGGTTTGGATCCGCAGCCTCTCCAGCTGCTAGGTTGTCCTGAGGAGTTGAACAGCACACTGGAAACAGGAAGTCACAACTGGAGCTCATCAAGGTAATCAGTGAACTGAAAAGGTTGCTGGGGTGGGGATTGGAGGGGGGGGGTGAGGAGGAGGAAGCCTCCTCTCCCAGTTGGAAAGTGCACTAATTAGCCTGGAACCATTTATAGGTTAATAAAACCTGAGCTGATGGGAATGAGCTGCTTGAGGTTATAGAACATTTCAGTCCTTGC